CATAGATAAAGAAGTAATATGAATTCTAAACATATATGCACCAAATGATATAGCATCCAAATATTTAAAGAAAATCTTATATGAGTTTCAGGAGTACAAAGACAATAAAACTATACTGGTGGGAGCCCCCAACTTTCTGCTTTCAAAATTAGATAAATCTAACCACAAAATAAACATGAAAGAAGGTGAATAGAATTTTAGCAAAAAATTAAACATGATAGCTGTCTGGAGAAAACTGAATGTCAGTAGACAGGAAAATACGTTTTTTCTCAGTAGAAGCTACACAAAAAGTGACCATGTGAAAAAAAACATAAAACAACTCCTAATCAAATGGAGAAAAGCAGAAATATTGAGAGTGTCCTTTTCAGATCATAATGAAATAAAAATCACATTCAACAAAGGGCCATAAAAAGATAGGTTAAAAATTAATTGGAAGCTAATTTATCTAATACTAAAGAATGAGTGGCTCAAAAAGCAAATCATAGAAACAATAAATAATTTGATTAAAAATAATGACAATAATGAGAAAACAAACCAAAATTTATGGGATGCAGTCAAATCAGTACTTAGAGGAAATGTTTTGTCTCTAAATACTTTCATTAATATAACAGAGAAAGAGCAGATCAATGACCTGGACATGAAGCTAAAACAACAACAACAACAACAACAAAAACCCAAGAAAAACAACAAATTCAAAATGACCAATGAAGTACCAAATTGGAAATCCTGTGAAAGGATATATTAATAAAACTGAAATTAAGAAAACCATTAAATTAATATATAAAACAAAAGACTAGTTTTATTAGAAGAAACAGTAAAATACATTAACCATTGGTTAATCTGATTAAAAAAAGAAAAGCAAATTATCTGTATCAAAAATTAAAAGTGTGAATTCAACAGCAAATAACTGAAAATTAGACCAATTTTCAAAGCTAATTTTCCCAAAACATTTGCCAAAAAAATCTGGCAATCTAGGTAAAATGGATGACTAATTACGAAATATGAATTCCCTGATTAAAAAAGGGGAAACAGAATACTTAAATAGCCAAATATTTAAAAATATATGGAATAAGGATCAATGAACTTCCTAAGAACAAATTGCCAGGGCAAGAGGGATTCATAAGTGAGTTACTATCAATTATCTGAAAAACAATTAATTCCAATATGTTATAAAATGTTTGGAAAAATAGGCAGAGGGGACTATCAAATTCTATTTATTGCACAAATATTGTGCTGATACCTAAACCAAAAAGAGTTCAAAGAGAAAAGGAAAACTAATTTGTGATAGAAAATAGCAGAGTGACAGGTTTTATGTATAAGGAGAATGCAGATGGAAGACAGAGAAAAGTGGGAGATACTCTTACCAGGAAGAGGATGATAACTGCTATAATTTCTTGTCAAGAGAGTGGCTTCAGAAGAAGGTAGAATCACTGAAGAAGAAATACGAGAATCAGGACACCAGAGAGCAAAGTCAATCAGATCTGGACATGAGAGAAGTTGACAAAGAACATAATCATGGAGGAGGATTGGGCAGCTGCCGTGAGAGCCAAGGATGTGACCAGGGGTTTAATGCAGCAGTGTCCCTTTCTCTGAGGTACAGTTCCATCAACAGACAATATCTGCGACATACCTGGTAAAGGAATATGTGAATTCCAAGGGATAGCCAGTACTGAGTAACAACTATGGGTATTGAGATAGTAGAGAAGGAAAAAAGGACTAGAGATGGGCCAATGTGGCCTCAGGGAAAAAGATTATTTATGGTGAATACAAGAGGTCGGGACAGGCATCATTATTTGAGACCCAGGTTGATTCCTATCATGTGGCATAGTAAAATGCAACATTTGTTTTTTCCTCAGGATTTTCTTTTTAAATCATAATGCTTGACTCAATGAAAACCTCTATAGCATTGATACTGACGTTCTGAATGTAAATGGAAGCTTGATGATAGGAGTCAAAGGCAGGTATTACATAATAAGATTAAACAATAAGATGCATAGCACCCTTATATTGACCATTTGGATTTTTTTTTCCATCCCAGATACTGATTTAGGAAAGAAGTGCTGAGAGACCAAAGGCATGAGGAAGAAGAAGTGACTGTTCTCCCCTGCCTCACCCCGTATACTGCCATGTGTCTCTGAGCATATGGTACCTGAAGTTACTCTGATCTTCAGTGAATGAGGATGTAGAAATGTAATTGAACAACTTACAACATGATGAGATTCAAATAATTAGACAAATCCTTAGAGGTCCTGTGGGAATACAGTCTATGAAAGAGAACACCAAAGTCCAGAGCCAAAGTAGCTGATTCTGACATAGCTCAAGAACATGAGGCCAGCAAACTGCCTGAACCAAATAAACAGAAAATTGACCCATGAATCAGAACACCAACTCCTGGAGCCAGGGAGTGACTCCTTGACAAACCTTCTGTTTACAGTATCACTTCCATCTCCTCAGTCTTTCCTTTAGGAGAGTAAAAAAAATCACCATGTTTATTTCCATAGTTCCAAGTGTTGGATTGTAAGAAGGCAGACCGTGTCTGAACAGCCCTCTCCCCACAACATCACATTATATAAAGGCAACTACAATGGACTTTTGCCTAGCATTTGTCATCTTGCTGCATGAGAGCATAAGAAAGGGAACTTAGATGAAGAACTAAAATTCCTGGTGGAAACAATCAGATATCAACCTGTAGACTTGCTAAAAAGTCAACCCACATTTGTTAAAAGGCTTGCTTTTTGCCTGGCACTGTGCCAAGAATTTGGGACAACTACAAAAAAAAAAAAAAAGAAAGAAAGAAAAAGAGTCAATGCCCTTAGGTAGCTGATCTTATAATGGGGAATAGATAACCCCTACAAAAGCACAGAAAAGTGAGGAGAGGAGCAGAGAAAAGGTCCTCCTGGGTGCTGGGCATAATGTGCAAATCCAGAGATTCAGAAGCAGGGCTGAGGTAATGAAGGATGGTTGACCTGGAGACCTTTCTCAAAATGAGAATCTGGCAGGAACTCTCCAAAGGCCAACAGGACTCTAAGGATTGTATGAAGTTCCAGGCTACAAAGGCCACTTTGTGGTGAGAAGCAATCATCTAAAGGAATGAGGAGAAAGAATATTTTTGGGTACAAAACACTTTTGGACTGATGACTCCCTTACTTAGATCAGCTAACTCTTTGAAGTGGGTGTCTTCTTGGTTAACAGATTAAAGCACTGCTGGATTAGCTCCAAGATGTGGCTTGGCTACTGCTATTGTCTCTAATACCAACTGTAGGGGATAAAGGGACCAATGATGAAACTTTTAACTTTTCAATACTTAAAACTTCAAAACTATTCTATGCTCTATCTAGATACTTATTCACAAATGTTAAAGAAAGAAAAACAAAAGAAAGAAGAAATATGTTTAAGTACATGAAGAACTGTGAACTAAGTAGAAGACAGGCTTCCTTCTTCTCCTTTGAGAACACAAGAAGTTCAAGAATTGATTTCATTGTATGCCTGAATTTAACGGAAGGTGAAGGGGAGTGGCCAATGAAACTAGGTCCATCAAGCATGAGGAGACTTTTTCTGCCCTCTACCATTTCAGCCTGTGAAACTTTGGAAGACACTTTGGGCTGGGTGATTCAGAACTTCAAAGAAGTGATTCATACCAAGGACCATTATTTCTCTCAGCCTTTCCTGGCATTTTGGCAAGAACCCTACTGAACTCATAGTAGCTGTCCTCTTTTTCCTCCAACTGAATACTCTGTGGACCTAAACAGGAGACCTCCTACTAAAGAGACACCTCATTCTGGAAGGTCAGTTTGCCTCTGTCACCACTTCCACTGATGGGTCAGTTCCTCCTAGAACCTCTAACACATAACTTTCCAGAATTCTTCTCCATCATTCTCCTCACAAGTACCTATATGTTAAAACCCTGCATTTAAGCCTTCTTTGATGTGTTGTCTCTGGGATAACCGGAGCATAAGGTTTGTGAGGTCAAGAACTGCAGTTACAGTAAATATATCCATATGCCCAGTGTGCACCACAGTGCTGCTATTATTGGTTTATTCATTTTCAAAGAGGACCATGATATCAGGGAGGTGATTCCCTGACATGGAAGTGAATTGGATTTAAGTTATTGCAGCTGTGCATAGTAACCAGTCTCACTTTCTCCTCTATAGCTATCTGGGTGCAGTGGTGAGATGTAGATCAGGAAGACTAGATCTGCCCTGGATGCAGTGAGGGACCTTAGCCTTTTAAAGCTAGGATACATAATAGGTTTCAGTTTTCCTGGGGCAATGCCTGTTCTTAAAGCCTAGTAACAAATGAGGCAGAGAATGGCCTCTTTACCTAGTTAAAAATAAAAATAGATCTAGGAGGGGAAGACCATGAGGGTTTCTGGCCAAAATAGAAATAATTGCTATTTACATTCACTTGATAAAAAATTATTTCTCAGCAATAACTTCAATTGAACATATAATTTATTTCTGTTCTGAAGGGATATATCATATATTTTGCAAATCAGACACAGATGCAGGCAGGTGGCAAATTATCAGCCCAAAATGGAAGATTACTCTAAACACAGAATTAGATGATGCTTGTTAACACTGACTGCTAAAGGAAAGGACTAGAGATTAATCTTTTTAAAGTCAGGTCTTTCACTGGGAATTTTCTGAGGTGAGGAAAAGAGAAATTTTCCTTCCCTCTAAAATTTTCTGAGTTCCATACAAGTATAAACTCCTAGTAGGGGGTATAGTGACCATCAGTTGGGCAGGTTTTTACTTGGTTCAAAACCATCAGAATTAAACCAATACATTGCCATCTCACCTACAGGACAGACTGAGTTCTTTGGTAGAAGGGACTGTTTTGTCTTTTTTCGCGTCGTCTTTGGTTGCAACAGTGCATTAGAACTTCTTGATACTTGTTCATTGACTCACTGACACTGCACCAGAAGAGATTAGAAAGGATTTGCTGTTTAGATACAAAGAACATATTGCATGAAAATGAGTGACAGCACTGGGCTCCCTTACCTGTGGAACTTTATAAAGTTTGAGAATGGTGGCCATGGCCATGGACAATGTGGATGACATCCCTCCAATGACAGCCACTGAATTGGGCTACCTGCCACAGCTATAGTTAGGGACAGTTGGACCCCTCCCTGACAGCCATATCAAGGAGCTCTCCACAGCTAGACTATTTAGATGGAAGTTATTGAGCAACTGGTATCCCAAGGTTATGTTTGGCAGCAAATCAGGGTTCTTGATGATTTCATCCACAGCAAACTGGAAAGCGAGGATATGTTGGTAATATTTGCGCAATGTTCTAAAGTGAGAGAAAAATATAAAGAGCAAGGTAAACTCTAGTGTGCAGAAAGAAGAAGATGTCATAGCAGATGGACTGTTGGACATGGAGTCAGGAACTCCTGTGTTAAGTCTTGCCCTTAACAGTGTGGCCCTGGGCAAATTATATCACATACATGAATGTCAATATCCACATCTGCAAAATTAGAGATTTTAACTAAATATCTTCCAAAATCCTTTCAAGAACACACACACACACACACACACACACACACACACACAACACGCACACACACAAAGAAATAATGATGTGTTTTAGACATTGGAATGTGTGTATTCTTGAGATGGAACTGAACAAACCCCACAATCTGATTTTCTATCTTATGCAAATGTAGAAAGACGAGCTTCTAATTCTGAACTTGCAATTTGGAGATATAGTTAATGGCCCCCTTGGCCATTCAAAATATATTATCTAGGAATAGAGAAATATATTGGGAAAATAGATTCTAGATATGTTGTAAAGATTTTTAAGATTCTATGTTGGGGTGAAAATGGAATACCTGTATTTCAAAGGTAGGATTTTCATGAAAATGTAATGGGTAACATTGAAAGATTCAAAAAGTATTGATCTCATCCTTGCTGAAATAACTACCTGAGGTAAAGCAGGCATATTCTCAAAATTTAGAATTTCAAGGCATATTTATTGGCACTGCAGTTCCTCCTCCTGTCCTATTCAAGTAAGGTGACAATATTGCTCTCTTAGAAGCTGTATGACAGAGAACCAGGGAATCAATAAATCAATACTTACTAAACCACCTACTATGTTCTAGGTACTGTGTTAAATAGTAAGGATGCAAAAAACAACAAAAAATTCCTGTCTTTAAGGAGATCACATCTTAATGGGAAAGAAAGCATGCAAATAGAAAGGCAGAGAGAGATAGAAAGAGATAGACAGAGAAATATAAAGTAAGACAGCGACAGAGAGAGAAAGGGAAAGGAACAGACAAACATACAGAGAGGTAGGGAGCTATATATTTAAGGGACAATGCCAAGCTGAAATTGGCAGCTCTTGGGAACAGCTTGGATATGTGGGGAGAAGGATACAGAAGAATATAGACTCCCTCCAAAGCTGGCAGCCAGAGGGCATAAGAGGATGGTTTTGCCCATGACAGTGATAGGGAAAGTAAGAGGGTGAGATTTTAGGGTCAAAAGAGTTAAGCTGTTCACTGGTCTTTTACCTAAAAGGCATTTGGTGTCTCCCATAAAACAGAAGTGGATAGGCGAATCTATTAAAAACCATAATCTGATAATATGTTGTTAACAAGAAATATTTGAAGCAGGGATACACACAGAGTAAAGGTAAAAGGCTGGAGTAGAATATATTATGCTGCAGTTGATGTAAAAAAAAAGCAGACACAGCAATTCTGATCTCAGACAAAGAAAAAGCAAAACAAGATCTTATTAAAAGAGATAAGGAAGGAAAATACATCTTGCTAAAAGGCAGTACAGATGATGAAGCAACATCATTATTAAACATATATGCAAGTGGTATAGCATCCAAATTCTTAGAAGAGAAGATCAGGGAGTTATAGGAAGAAATAGATAGAAAACCATACTAGTGGGGGCCTTTGAACCTCACCCTCTCCTAACTAGGTAAAGCTAACCACAAAATAAACAAGAAGGAAGTTTAAGGAGGTAAATAGAATATTAGAAAAGTTAGGTATGGTAGACCTGTGGAGAAAATTGAATGGGGATAGAAAGGAATATACCTTTTTCTCAGTGGTATATGGCACCTACACAAAAATTGACCATGAGGGGCAGCTAGGTGACACAGTGGATAGAGCACTGGCCCTGAAGTCAGGAGGACCTGAGTTCAAATCCAGTCTCAAGCCAAACACTTAACACTTACTAGCTATGTGACCCTCGGCAAGTCTCTTAAACCCAATTGCCTTAAAAAATTGACCATGTACACTAGGGCATCAAAACCTCACAGTCCAATGCAGAAAGGCAGAAATTATTAAATGCATCCTTTTCAGATCATGATGCAATAAAAACTACCTCTAATAAAGGGCCATGGAAAGATAGACTAAAAATTAATTGGAAACTAAATAATCAAACCCTAAAAAACAAAAGGGTCAAATAACAAATCATAGAAACAGTAACTTCATACAAGAGAATGACAATAATGAGACACTATATCAAAACACGTGGGATGCAGGAAAGAGGTTCTTAGGAGAAGTTTTATATCTCTAAATGCTTAATGAATAAAATAGAGAAAGAAGAGATCAATGAATTGGGCATGCAAGTAAAACAACTAGAAAAAGAACAAATTAAAAATCCCCAATTAAACACCAAATTAGAAATACTGAAAAACAAAGGAGAAAGTAATTATATTGAAATTAAGAAAACTATTGAATTAATAAATAAGAGGTGATTTTATGAAAACCCCAATAAAATAGATAAACCTTTGGTTAATTTAATTAAAAAAGGAAGAAAATCAAATAACCAGTACCAAAACTGAAAAAGGTGAATTCAACCCCAATGAAGAGGAAATCCAAACAATAATTAGGACCTGTTTTGCTTAACTGTATACCAGTAAGTTTGACAATCTTAGTGAAATGGGTGAATATTTACAAAAATATAAATTTCCCAGAAGAGGCAGAAGAGGAGGTAAAATACTTAAATAATCCCATTTCGGAAAAAAGAGTTTGAGCAAGCCATTAATGAACTCCCTAGGAAAAAATCTCCAAGGCCAGATGAATTTACAGGTGAATTCTGTTAAACATTTACACAGTAATTAATTCCAGTAGTATAAAAACTATTTGGGAAAAGAGGCAAAGAAGGAGGCTTACCAAATTCTTTTTATGATACAGATATGATGCTGATACCTAAACTGAGAAAAACCAAAACAGAGAAAGAAAGTTATAGGCCAATTTCTGTAATGAATATAGATGCAAAAATTTTAAGTAAAATATTAGCAAAAAGAGTACTGCAACTTATTATGAGAATAATACACTATGACTAGATAGGATTTTATACCAGGAATGCAGGGCTGGTTCAATATTAGCAAAATTATCAGCATAATTAATCAAATCAACAACAAAACAATCAGAAAACACATGATTGTTTCAAAAGATGCAGAAAAAGCTTTTTCCAAAGTACAACACCCATTCCTATTAAAACCATGAGAGAGCATAGAAATAAATGGAGTCTTCCTGAAAATGACAAGTAGCATCTACCTAAAACCTTCAGGAAGCATGATATGTAATGGGGATAATCTAGAACCTTCTCCAATAAGATCTGGTATTGGAAATGTTAGCTTTAGCAATAAGAGAAGCAAAAGAAATTGAAGATATTAGAACAGGCAAAGAAGAAAAAAGTCATCACACTTTGCAGATAATATGATGATATTCTTAGAGAATCCTAGAGAATCAAGTAGAAAACTACTTGAAATAATAAACAACTTAAGCAAAATTACAGGATACAAAATACATCCCCATAAGTCATCAACATTTCTATATATTACTAACAAAGCCCAACGTCAAGATATAGGAAGATAAATTCAAGTTAAAGTTATTGCACATATTATAAAATATTTGGGAATCTACCTGGCAAAACAAACCCAGGATGTTTATAAGCATAATTACAAAACACTTTTCACAAAAAAAAAGTCAGATCTAAATAATTGGAAAAAACATCAGTTGCTCATTAGAAATCTGAATTAATATAATAAAAATGACAATTATACCTAAATTAATTTACTTATTCAATACTATACCAATCAAACTACCAAAAATATTTTGTAGAGTACAAAAAATGATAACAAAATTCATCTGGAAGAACAAAAGTTCCAGAATATCAAGGGAACTAATGAAAAGAAATGCTAGGGAAGGCAGCCTAGCCATACTAAATCTTATATTGTATTATAGAGCAGCAATCATCAAAACTACTTGGTACTGGGTAAGAAATAGAATGGTGGATCAGTGGAATAAGATAGATAAACAAAACACAGTAGTCAATGACTATAGTAATCTGCTGTTTGATAAATCCAAAGACTCCCAGCTTCTGGGATAAGACATAAATCTTTGACAAAAACTCCTGGGAAAACTGGAATAGAGTATGGCAGAAACTAGGCATAGCAACATCGTACACTGTATACTAAGATAAAGTAAAAAGAGTTATATGTTTTAGATATGAAGACTGATACTATAAGGAAATTGAGAGAGCAAGGAATAGCTTACCTGTCAGATTTATGGAGCACCAAAGAATTTATGAACAAACAAGAGACAGGGAACATTATGAGACGCAAAATGGATAATTTTGATTACATTAAGTTGAAAAGTTTTTGCAGAAACAAAACCATTGCAACCAATATTAGGAGGGAAGCAGAATATTCAGAAAGAAGTTTTACAACTAGGTTTCTGATAAAGGCCTCATTTCTAAAGTATATAGAGAACTGAGTCAAATTCGTAAGAATACATATCATTCCCCAGTTGAAAAATGGTCAAAGGATATGAACAGGCAGTTTTCAGAGGAAGAAAGTAAAGCTATCTATAGTCATATGAAAAAATGCTCTAAATCACTATTGATTAGAGAAATGGAAATCAAAATGACTATGAGGTACCACATCGTACCTAACAGATTGGCTAACAAGACAAAACAGGAAAATGATAAATGTTGGAGAAAATGTGGGAAAATTGTAACACTAATGCATTGTTAGTGGAGTTGTGCACTGATCCAACCATTTTGGAGAGCAGTTTGGAACTATGCCCAAAGGGCTACAAAAATGTGCATACCCTTTGACTTCTTCTGTAGTACTTCTAGGTCTGTATCCCAAAGAGATCATACAAATGGGAAAAAGACCCACATGTACAAAAATATTTATAGTGGCTTTTTCTGTGGTATCTAAGAATTGGAAATTGAGGAGATGCCCATCAATTGGGGAATGGCTGAACAAACAGTGGTTTATAAATGTAATGGCATACTATTATGGTATAAGAAATGATGAGCAGGATGACTTCAGAAATACCTGGAATGACTTGTATATATTGATGGTGAGTGACATGAGCAGAACCAGGAGAACATTGTACACAGTAACAGCCACATTGTATGATGGCTAACTTTAATAGACTTAGCTGTTCTCAGCTATGCAATGATCTAAGACAGTTCCAGAACACTCATGGTGGAAAATGCTATCCACATCCAGAGAAAGAGCTATGGAGTCTGAATGCTGATTGAAGTGTACTATTTCAATGTGTTTTTTCTTTCTCATGGTTTTGCCCTTTCTGACTGCTGATTGAAGCGTACTATTTCAAGTTGTTTTTTCTTTCTCATGGTTTTTTCCTTTTTTTCTGATTCCTTATTCATAACATGACTAATGTGGAAATGTTTAACATGATTGTACATGTATCACTATATAAGATTGTATGCTGTCTTGGGGAGGGTAGAGGAAAGGGAGGGAGGGAGAAAAATTTGGAACTCAAAATCTTACAAAAACGAATGTTGAAAGCTATCTTTCCATGTAATTGAAAAAAATACTATTAAGTTAAAAAAATGAATCACTCAATAGTTTATCACAAGCCTGAAATAATTCTTCTGATCATGACCACACCTCAGTATTCTTATGTTGGTGATTGTGAAGGCAGAATGAAGAGTGCATTCAGCACTATTAAGTTTTTCGTAATTTGATTTCAATCCTTGAGCCTTCCAAGATTGTGTAGTGTACTGATGGTGTTATGGCTTAGATCTATGTCATCTGCAAATTTGATAAACTGCTGTCTTCTCTTTCACCAAGTTCTTGGAAAAGATAATGCTCGAGTCATTTCACTTAAAATAACTGAAGTTCTTCCCAGTGTATGCAGAAAATTCATCAGTAACAAACATTTTTGGATTTTAAAAAAGGAAAATCCTAACAGTTAACACTTTCAAGATGTACTTTACTCATGCGATTGCTGCAGTAACTTCTCCATTTGCAGAGTAGATGTATGATCAGAATAATGACAAAATGGAGAAATTCTGGCAGAAATGAAGAAATTGACCATGGACATGTAATTAGACAAAGGATTGAGGAGGCAAACTTTGAGGGAAGAATAATTTGACATGCAAAATGGAAAAGAATTGAATGAGAGTTAGGGAAATAGTTGTCATGGCTTAGCAAAACTCCACCTGTTGGGTACATAAGACACACAGAAGGAAGTAGAAATATTGTGCATTTCACACACCTCATTTAGGAGATGTCCTAGAAGAGAGCCCTATGCTGTTATCAGTGACCTCATTATAATGACTTCTTAAGGACAATTCCCAAACCAGGTCCAATCACTATGTCCCCTCCTAAGATTTCACAACCATCAGAGGCTTAAGAAATAGTAGGAAAGGAAAGGAAAGAAAGCAAAGTAAAAGGACTGGGCATAATAATGAAGACTGAAAGGATTGTATTGAATCCAGGGCTCTAAACCTTCAAAAGGAGCAGTCTCATTACTCAGAGGAGGAATTATTTGCACAAATGATCATCTCAAATATAGGCAACATTGGAATGATAGTAAATAGAAAAATTCTTAATGCCAGGATCATTTTTCATTTATTAATGGCATGCACATGGAGTTCTGATTATATATTTGAGAGAAATTGCCCTGCAGGTTATATTTCTTAGACATAAAAAGGATTGAAAACTCAGTGCAATTAATGAACCTTGCGGATGGTCTGACATATAGGGCACTTGTGGTCATTGTAAACTTTATATTATTTGGTGTTTTAGATGTATTTGAATGTTATACATATAATGACAGAACTCCAATTTGGAGTGAAATAGATCAAGTTGTCCTGAAGCTCATCACCATTTATAAGAAAAGGTTTTGTCTTTTCCACTGGGGTCAGGCAGATAAGGCTTGAAGCTTTGTATTGAATGAAACCCTGGACTGACTGGAGTATTCTGTATTTATTCTCTTTTCTAGTGCCTAAGATAGTTAATATTACACCCTTCTGCTAGTTTGTTATATAAAGATGCAGAGACCCTACCCACACCTCACCCAAGCCTACCACTGACAAGTGACCTCAAGAACTTCTTTGTCATGTATGGGTCCAATAAGGAATATTTCCTCGCATATTTGGCACCAATAACTGGTTGTCAATCAAGCCCAATATGAGAGAATATTGTTTTGCCCCCTGAACCTAAATGTGGAATGTATTTCCTCCCTGATGTGTCTCCCTCATGCCTGTACTGGGTGAGTTTTTTCATCTGTGGGCAGCAATCTCTGACTGTTTATAATGCCATGCAGGGTGGGTATGGATAGTTTCCATTTCCCTGCTTGCTGCACTGCACATTAATAAAACCTTTAATTTATCAGCTTCCTGATACCAGGTTTCTAGAAATTTTCAAACCCAAGGCTTTGTTTCAAACAAAGCTGTGAGGATAAATAAAAGACAACTCCACCAACAAACCAGTAAGTCAGACATAGGGATAAGTATTTCATCAATCAGAAAAAAATAACCACTTACCTTGACTCTGCAGGAAGCCAGATGGGAGGATCTCTGAAGAAAAAGCTATTGATGTGATACTCTCTTTTTGGAAACAAGGAGAAGAAGCCCCCTATGACTAAGTCCCCTTCTTTTCTATATGTGGGACTGTAAGCTCTTTCTATGTGACAAGGACTCTTCTCCATATGCAATTCAAAAAGAGAAAACTGCAAAAACAAGACCACAAATAACCTTGAGAACAAGAGCCCTAGTTTTCCGAGGCCAGTGGCCAACATCCCAGATCTCTAGAGAGCCAAGACACTGTAAAGTGACTAGGAGTTGTTGTTCATGCATTTATAGGGTCCTTCTCTGTTGCTAAAATTTTTCTTTTCTGAAGATGCTCAAGCTTGGAACAGTCCCTCTCATTTGGAATGGAAGAACGTGAGACATGGAGCAGGCCTCTGTTTATAACAAAGGCAAAAGCGAGAAAGAGCAGGGCATATTCATGGGGCACTTTTGCCTCCTGGATATTATTCTCTGTGTTCCCTGTGGATGGATTAGGAAAGGACTGTCTTCATGCCTCTTGGGTCCAAGTCAAGCAAATATGTTGACCAGAGTCTGAGAGTGAAAGTCTCTCAGGACCATCCTGCCCAGAAACTCTGCACCTGCTTCCTTCATCTTGAAAACTTTAAAAACTTAAGCATAAAAAAAAATGGTGTTTGTGAATCTCCTTAACTGTCTTCAGTCCCTGGAGCCATCACAGCTTCCATGGGTTCTGAGATGCTCTGATCTCTCTCAAGCTAAGTTTCTTGGGCTTTCCAGAGAACTACTTCCATTCTCCCTAAGCCAAATCTCTTGTTATTGCACCAGTCAGAGGACAGTGTGACATGACAAGGGCAGAAAGTGTGAATGATAGTGACAAGGCCTAGGTCCAAAAGTTCCCAGACTGAGAAGAATTTTACATTTGTCTTGCCTTGATAACACTGACGTCAGTGCTTTGGCCATTGGAAGTAAACATTACATCATTGCTGAATGAACGAAAAATCATAATAATAATAGAATTGTCAATAATGTTTTTAGATTGATAAATCACATTTTTCACAAGTCTGCCTGTTACTTCAGTAGTGGGAACCATGGGCTCAGTAGGGAAGTTACCTCCCAGAGGCAATTGAGAAAGATTATAGAAGTTGAAAGTGTGTCATTCCTGAGATGAATGAAAACCCAGAGAGACAGCGTTTCTGAGTAATTAATAACCAATTTATTAATTAGCCTAGCAATCAATCTATAAATTGAAGATCAATAGTCTTTCTCAGACCAAAGATAAAACCATGGAGATCACTGAATGCTTATATATCTTTGGAAAAGGTGGTGCCCCTGACAGTTGAAAATCAACCCCGATTGGTTAACAGTCAATGAGGGGGAGACTTTTTCAAATGAGGAGGTGAGCTAAAAACTCTCATCCCCTCCTGCTGAGGATGTGGTTTGATCATGAGGCTCAGCCACCTCGAGCAATCTGGACAATGGAATCCATCCCTGCCCAGAACACTCTATGTAGATTCTCCTTCATGAGCTGAGTTGCCCTTAACTCCAATGGGGAGATTCCAAAAGCATAAGCCTTCTGCTTTATGACTGAAATTCTTTTTAATTAAATTCTGTTTCCACTCTAAACAGAAATGAGGTCTTCTTCATGGGTGGGGAAGATTTGGGGCAACCTTATAAACAGTAGACAGGGAAGTGATGTGGGTCATGAATAAAGCAATTAAAAAAAAAAGAAAAAACTGGATCCTAAAGTTAATAGTTGGTTAACAATATAATAACCATCAGTATGGCAGGCCCACAGGAGAGAAGGTGCTGTGCTCTATGAGCAAAGTAGAACTGAAATAGTTCAGAATAAGTGCAAAATGTGCAAATTTGGAGAATCCACCCCAAATGTTCACAAGGACTATTTGTGTCAGACCTGTGGTAGGATTTCGTGAGCTCATATTGGTCTGATCAACCACAATCAGCCACAGTGAAACTGAACCCTAGCATATGGTGGATATTTTAGTCTTCTTTAAGAACTAACGACAACAAGCAACCAAACAATTAATATAATAGAGAAGTAATCACTTTTCTCATACCGCAGCTGTCATGCCTGAATTGGGGTCAAGTCAGACTCTTCACTCTCATCCTCACTAAACCAACATCAGGGTTAGGTAATTTATCTGTAATAAGCATTCATCATGTCCTGATACTGCGCCAAGCATTATGCTGGCACTAAAGACTAGGCTGACACCACTTCAGTAAATGGTCTCCTCATTGCAGACTTTCCCTACGTAGAGTGTCGTGACAACCCTCACATGCCCATATATACACATGCAAAAATACACAACTATACCTATAGATGGATTTATAGAAGGTAATCTTTTTTCTTTTGACTTGTTAATAGTAGCTAGGGCCTTGGAGGTTTAAGTATTATAGTTAGGGATTATAAATTCAGATTATAAATCCAGATTTGATTTATATCAAAATCTGTCCTGAAGGAAATCAGAATGTGGTCTGTGTCTTCTCCTATTAGGATGATTATGGTAAATCAGAACCTAATATAAAAGACATTTACTGTCTGGAATTAAGAAATCTATTAAAAAGAGGTCCAAAAAGCCAATGAGGAGAAGAATTCCCTAAAAAGAAAAATTGACCAAATGGAAAAGGAAGTCCAAAAGCTTACTGAAGAAAATACTTCCTTAAAAATTAGAATAGAGCAATTGGAAGCTAATGACTTTATAAGAAATCAAGACACTGTAAAACAAACCCAAAAGAATGAAAAAAAAGAAGACAATGTGAAATATCTCATTGGAAAAACAACTGACCTGGAAAGTAGATCCAGGAGAGAGAATTTAAAAATTATTGGACTGTCTGAAAGCCATGATCAAAAAAAGAGCCTAGACATCATCTTTCAAGAAACTATCAAGGAAAACTGCCCTGATATTTTAGAACCAGAGGGCAAAATAGAAATTGAAAGAATACACCAATCTCCTCCTGAAAGAGATCCCCAAAGGAAAACTCCTAGGAATATTGTAGCCAAATTCCAGAGCTCCCAGGTCAAGGAGACAATATTACAAGCTTCCAGAAAGAAACAATTCAAGTATTGTGGAAACACAATCAGGATAACACAAGATTTAGCAGCTTCTGTATTAAAGGACCACAGAGCATGGAATGTAATATTCCAGAGGGTAAAGAAGATAGCATTACAACCAAGAATCACCTACCCAGCAAAACTGAGTATAATCCCTCAGGGGAAGAATGATCATTCAGTGAAATAGAGGACTTTCAAACATTCTTGATGAAAAGACCAGAGCTGAATAGAAAATTTGACTTTCAAATACAGGACTCAAGTGAAACATGAAGAAATAAACAGGAAAGAGAAACCATAAGAGAGTTATTGAGGTTGAAATGTTTACATTCCTGTACGTAAAGATGATATTTAGAACTCATGAGACCTTTGTCAGTATTAGGATAGTTGGAGGGGGAAAAATTATAGATAGATAGATAGATAGATAGATAGATAGATAGATAGATAGATAGATAGATAAATAGATAGATAGATAGATAGATAGATAGATAGATAGATAGATAGATAGATAGATAGATAGATAGATGATAGAGGGCACAGGGTGAGTTGAAGATTAAGGGGTCATATCTGGAGAATAAAATTAAGGGATAAAATTAAGCTTCTGTACACAGTCTGAATCCAACAGCAATCTACTGGAACTCCAGCTTGGGGCAAGGCCACAAGTTTGCTTTTCAGACCCAAACCCAATTCAGAGCTTTGGCCAGGAGAACAATGATCAGTTTAAAATATTGCACATATGTATTCCTCCTTTCTGAAACAGAAATTCCTTGCTTTGCCCAAACCTGAGTACTGAATGACCTAACTCATGCGAAATCAGTAACATAGTTTAATTTTTTAAATAAACATCTTCATACCATTTTTTCACCTGATTGCCTCAATTTACAGTCAAAACTGTAGAAGTTACATTACTTGCTTTATATTTTTTTTGTACCAACATGTAAATGTGTTATGCGACATTTTTAAAAAATAAAAATTGTATACCTATATCCACTATGCCATATTGTTACAGCTGCAGCAGGTTAAAATGAACATCAATAGCATAAGCTGAAATTTTTATAGAATTTTTTAAGCTGTTGTTAATGTGTAAAGTAATTCCTGTTTGGACTGCATATCTTCTTGTCTCATGGAAGTAATTTTTTCTTTGTATTGTATTTTTGAAAAATTTTTTTCTCAGTTGACTAAAGTTTTGTACTTCTTATTCTGAGCTGAAAATTCTCTAACAACTTTTTCTGTAGTTCACATTTATTTCTGCATTTCCCCCATGATCACTGTCATTCAATTTTTAAAATCATTAGAACTCCTTAAAAACACTTAGCCTACTGATAACACATGGAAATTCAAATTGTTTGTAAAACTTTATATATGTATATATGTATATATATACATACATATATATGTATATATATGTGTATATATATATATATATTTATATATATGTATTTATATACACACATACACACACACACACACACACACACATATATATGTATATGTATATTTCTAAGTATATGTCTATATTGAGAAATGAAGGTAAATAGCTAGGCCAGCTTCTTAACTGGAGAAGTCTAAAAGATAGGTAAAGGAGGCAGAAAATTGAGAATTGATCTAGCTCTTCAAAAAAGTAGAGGAAACAATTAGATGGAGCTGGGAAATGTCACCACATATCTTTACACACACACACATACACATACATATATAAATGTACATATATATGTACCTATATTCACATATATGTGGATTTATGGATGACAATATTTTTTCTTTTGAGTTAACAGTAGCTGGGGCTTTGGAGGTCTAAATGTCACAATCAGCGATTATAAATTCAGATTTCATTTAAGTCAAAATCTGTTAAAGGGAATCAGAATGTGGTCTCTGTCTTCTCCTATCAGGATAATTATGGTAAATCAGAACCTAATATAAAAGATATTTGCTATTAGGTACTAAGAAATTTATTAGCTCTCTGACCCCAAGCAAGATGCCTTATGTCTGTTTACTGCAGTTTGCTATTCTGTAACAGGATAACAATAACACATCCTCGGGTCTTCTTGGGGATCACACTTGTACAGTGCTTAGCCCAGTGCTTGGCATAGGGAAAATTCTATATTAATGCATTAACTGTTGTTATTATTTCTTTAATTAGATGTAACTGCTTCATATTTGATAACTTCATGTGAGTTTTTAGATGTGATCGGT